GTCAAGATACAGTCCAAAGTCAAGAGCCGGGCCTGACATGGTCTATTTTTGTATTCCCAAGAGCCAGTTTGGTGTAGTAGTTAAGTGCGCGGACTCTAATCTGGGAGAACCAGGTTTGATTCCCCACTCCTTCACTTGCACCTGGCTGGATGACCTTGGGCAAGCCGTGGTTCTGATAAGAGCTGTTCTTGAAAAAAAGAGCAGTTTCTGTCAAGAGCTCTCTCAGCGCCACCTCCCTCTGTTGTGGGGAGGGGAAGGGAAAGGAGTTTGTAAGCCGCTCTGAGACACCTTTGGGTAGTGAAGGGCGGGGTATAAATCCAATCTCTTCTTCTTTTTCTTCTTGTATTTCAAAACTAATTGGGGGGGGGTTCTCTTTCTTTTGTGGGCTGTTGGGACATATTACAAGCTTGGACTGGGCCCCAAGGGATACATCTTGAGTCTTGCATGCCCTCAGATGTATTTGACTTGAAAGAGACTTGCAGAAAACTGCATTAGCAAGCACGTCTTAACCTAGCCGAGAAAACCAAACACATCTAACCGAAAACTATGAGATGCCCCTCAGAGGGCTTCTGGCTCGGTGACTTTTGCAAATAATGATACATCCAAGGTGTGTGATGCACAATAATGTTTCACTGTGTGAACAACATGCGTTGGAAAGCTGGATTCACTCACACAAAAAAAGCAGCAAACTGACTGGGAGGTTACATGATAAGAGGTTTACAGAATTACGCATGGGACAGAGAAGGTACAGAAAGTAGTACTTTTCTCCCTTTCTCGCAAGACAAGGACTCGTGGGCACTCAAGGAAATTAATGAGCAGCAGACTGAGATCAGATAAAAGGAAGTACTTCTTCAACGAAAGAGTAATTAATACGTGGAATTCACTGCCACAGGACGTGGTGGCAGCTACAAGCACAGACAGCTTCGAGAGGGTTTGGATCAACATACGAAGCAGAGGTCCCTAAGCGGGCATTAGCCGCAAGGTATAGCTAGAACACTATGTCTGGGGCAGAGAGGCTCTGTATTCTTGGTGATTGGAGGGCAACAGTGGGAGGGCTTCTGGAGTTCTGGCCCCACTGGTGGACCTCCTGATGGCACCTAGGTTTTGGCCACTGTGAGACACAGAGTGTTGGACTGGATGGGCCTTTGGCCTGATCCAACATGGCTTTTATTATGCCCTTAAGGGAGAGGTCCATGAGTGGCTATTAGCCACAGGGTATAGATGGCACACACTGATGCTCTGGATTCTTGGTGCTTGGGGGGCCACAGTGGGAGGGATTCTTGGAGTTCTGGCCCCACTGGTGGACCTCCTGATGGCACCTTGGTTGCCACTGTGTAGCACAGTCTTGGACTGGATGGACCACTAGCCTGATCTGACATGGCTTCTGTTATGTTCTTAAAACAGACAGGTATGTGATTGTCACACATGTGGTTTGTGTGCTATTTCTTTGTGGGAAGTGCTGTCTATACAGGAAATCCATTACATTTGAAGATGGTATAATTGTTAAGACACAATATACAGGGATTCTCAATAGCTCAGCAGTCATACAACAGCACCCTCTAGTGTTCAAAATAATGTATTATGCTTTCTAATAGGTTTTCATTCTCAAATAATTCATTCTGACAAAAACTTGCTCAAGAACTTGATACTGCCGGTTACAACAGTACGTACCAAATAATTATAATGCCGTTAAAGTACATATCCAGAAATGCTACATACAAGACTGACTGTATATCAATCGACTATAAGGAATGTGTTCTTTTAATTCTGCTTCGTCTCATTCTGTACCCCTCCAAATCCATAGTCAAACATCACAAAAATGAATTCAGCTGCATTTCCATGAAGAGTTACTTCAGTTTAACACACACACTTCAAATCCTTAACCTTCTTTAGACAGAAAGACAGGAATTAAAGTGAAAAAGGGAAGGAAATATACAGACACCAGTTCAAGGAAGCGCAATAACCTAAGTTGCCTGCCTGTTCACTGCTTGCTTCATTAAAAAAAAAACAGAATTCAGGCTCTGCTGGGTATCATCTTCCAAGAGGAGAGAGAGGCACAATGGCGTGCCATAATCTGAGTGTCAGACTAGGATCTGAGAGACCCGGGTGCGAATCCCTGCTCCGCCATGGAAGCTCGCTGGGTTACTATGGCCCAGTCACACTGTCTCAGCTTAACTTCCCTCACAGGGATATTGTGAAGAGAAAATGGAGAATAGGAGGATAATGTTAAGCCACTTTGGTTCTCATTGGGGAGAGAGGCGGAGTATAAATAGTTAATGTAACTGATTAATTAATGGACTTTTGTTCTTAACAAATATGCAACATCATTTCAAGCAGTTCAAAAGGTACCATCTCCTGAACCACCTATTGAAATAAAAACTACTTGCTTCTCTCCATACAAATGTGACCTTGTGATACTGTGTTTCCCCGAAAATAAGACACTGTCTTATATTTATTTTTTCTCAAGAAGACACACTAGGGCTTATACCACAAATGCATAGAAATCCTGCTAGGGCTTATTTTGGGGGTAGGTCTTATTTTCGGGAAAACAGGGTAGTTAACTTCAAAAGGTACCATCTCCTGAACCACCTATTGAAATAAAAACTACTTGCTTCTCTCCGTACAAATGTGACCCTGTGATAGTTAACTTCTTCACTGAGCACAATCTACACAACTAACGTGACTTGCAGAGCCTTAAAGAGGTTGTTCCTTAGTAATATCGAGCAATTAGATGACAACTGGAAACTCCAGGTTTTTCTGCTAGGATGCCTTTGTCAACCAAGCCTAGGGTACAAGTGCTCAGCAAGCAGAAATTCTTTATGCAGCACCTAAAAACATCTTCTTTTTTTTCTTATTTATTACTACAGACACTACAAAAGGGAAGGGTAGTGCAGGGGAAACACTAAGACTAAAGAAAAAAATGAAGTACAGAAAGTAAGGCAAGGATCAAATTACCTTATTAGGGTCCCGTTCACACGCGGCGATTTGGGCCAGTTGTAGCGCCTTTTCCCCTGCATGTGGCAGGGGCCTTGGTAACCTTATTTGTCATACCTATCATCTTACAATTAAAAAGTCAAGAGAAAGGTACTGTGTGCCTTATTTCAAATAACATTTAAGCTAACTTGAGCCCATTTTACTAAATTTGGGTACATTACAGTCAGCTATTATAAAAAGATAACACTGTCTAACCATCTCATCCTTTCCCATCCTGTTCTTCTTTTACCTTCAATCATTCCCAGGATCAAGGTATTCTCCAGTGAGTGCTCCCTTCTCATTTGGTGGCCAAAGTATTTGAGCTTCAGCTTCAGTATCTGGCCTTCCAGGGAACAGTCAGGGCTGATTTCCTTTTGGATTGAATGATTCGATCTCCTTGCGGTCAAAGGGACTCTCAAGAGTCTTCTCCAGCACCATAATTCGAAAGAATCTATTCTTCTTCCTTACAGTCCAACTCTCGTAGCCATACATTACTACTGGGAATACCATTGCTTTGCCCATACGGACTTTTGTTGGCAGGGTGATGTGTCTACTGTTTATTATGCTGTCTAGGTCTGCCATCGCTTTCCAGTTTGGTGTAGTGGTTAAGTGCGTGGACTCTAATCTGGGAGAAGCGGGTTTGATTCCCCCACTCTTCCACTTGCACCTGGCTGGATGACCTTGGGCAAGCCGTAGTTCCGATAAGAGCTGTTCTTGAAAAAGAGCAGTTTCTGTCAGAGCTCTCTCAACCCCACCTACCTTATAGGGTGTCTGTTGTGGGGAGGGGAAGGGAAAGGAGTTTGTAAGCCGTTCTGAGACACCTTTGGGTAGTGAAGGGCGGGGTATAAATCCAATCTCTTCTTCTTCTTCTTCTCTCAAGGAGCAGGCAGTCACCGTCTGCAGTGATCTTGGATCCCAGGAATGTGAAGTCTGTAACTGCTTCCAAAACTTCCCCTTCTATATGCCAAGGAGTGATGGGGCCGGATGCCATGATCTTAGTTTTTTTGACGTTGAGTTTCAAGCCAACTTTTGCACTCTCCTCTTTCACACCCTCACTATGCCACAATAACTCAGAACAATGAACTCATATGGAGTCAGACCTTATACTGAATCAGACCGTGGGTCAGTCAAGGTCTATATTGTCTACTCTGTCTGGCAGCGGCCCTGCAGGGTCTCAGGCAGAGGGGTCTTTCCCATCCCCTCCTGCCTGGTCCTTTTAAGTGGAGATGCCGGGGACTGAACTTGGGAGCCTCTGTATGCCAAGCAGAGGCTCTTCCGCTGGGCCACAGCCCCTCCCCCTAATGATCCCAGGCTGCCAACAAGACCTGGCAACGGAACTTCCCCCTTGAAAATTCCAGGGCACCAAGGAAGGATGTTAACCCCCTCCTCTCTCCCTCTCCTTTATCTGTGTCAGTAGAAAAGAGCAAGAGTCCAGCAGCACCTTAAAGACTAACAAAATATGTGGCAGAGGATAAGCTTTTGTGAGTCACTGGTCACTTCTACAGATACATCTAGAATGGGAGTCTGTGTATTTACCCATTCTCTTGTTAGAGAGCAAGGCGATCCTTTATCTGTGTATTTACCCAGCCTCCTCTTCCCTCCTGTGAAGGGAACAACCAGAGCCCTGTACAGCAGGTGAGGAACGAAAGCAAGTGAAAAGACTGGAACAACAGGGAAAGCGCCACAGTGGCTATACGAAGATAACTCCAGAGGTTAGCTGAGTTGGTGTGCCGTAGAACGGTTACATTAGAGCTCAGTGGGTCCTTAGAGACTAAAAAGATTTTCAGGGTATAAGTTTCTGGGAGTCAAAGCTCCCTTTCTCGGACACAAATGGGAAACCCGCGGCTACGTGCCCTCTCTAGGCTGCAGAACTTTCGGAACAAGAGTCACCTCCAAAGATTCAGAACACTGACGAGAAAACACAAACAACTGCCAGCCAAAGCCAGCCAAAGCCAGCTGGCTGTTAAAAATCCCTGGACATTTAACTAGACTGGTAGCAATATTTAGTCAACATGTAAGCGCCTTACCTGTTTGTTGGGGTGTTAAAGCTAAAAGAAAGCAGCTGATTCCAGAACGGGTCGTTCTCCGAGATTGCCTCCGGGCCCGACAATTTTTTTAAGTATTCGTTGTCCGGGAGTTCACTGATGCTGCTTCCGTTTGCACCCATCTTCTTATTGTTTGGTACGCTCTCTTTAAAGTTTCATGAAATGGAAGGAAAGCCTACAAAAGACACAGGAAATTTAAAATCTTCTATGAGCCCCACATATGTATTAACAAGAAGCAAACTATACTTCCATGACAAATGCTGTGCGCCAAAGTAAATCCGGAGTACAAACGGGGGGGGGGGGTGTCCAAAGAGCGTATTTTAAAATGGGAAAGTGAAACTGCCATACAATTAAGGAATTTACAGGGAACAGAAGATGCAGTGCATACCACAGCGTTACACGAACAGCCCTGTCCTAAACACAGTTACACCCTTCTAAGCCCATTGACTTCAGTCAGCCCAACCTGAAAGATCAGCAGTGGCTGAACATAGCCTAACTCAAACAGGACACAGTATCTTATTCCAAGACACTGAAAGGCTGGAATACACATCCAATTACCATGTCAGATTACACAGGGAAGCCACTAAAATTCATAAACATAAACACAATTTCAACAGGAAAGAAGAGACTTTAAAAAAATAAATCCTCTCCTGAAAAACACAAAAGGCTCTACATCCTACAACAGCACTACAGATAAGATTAGAGTTTCAACAGCCAATCCATATGCAAAAGAACCTCCTCAGGAAAGCTCCTCCATTAGCATGTCACAGCCTGGGGAACTCCTACAAGATAATGACTCAGCCCTACCCCACCTTCCTGAGTAGATATAAATTACCTGCCTACCATTTTTTTCTTCTCACCTTGACACAGAGAGTACTTCATCTTTATGTGTTATACCTCTGAGGATGCCAGTCACAGCTGCTGGCGAAACATCAGGTCCTACAATGCCAGGACCACAGCCATACAGCCTGGAAAATCTACTACAACTAATGACTTCGGTAGACTTAGAAAGCTGTAACTCTGTTTAGGACTGTACTGTAAAAAAAAAAAGCCAAAATCCTATATACCTGGAGGAGGACATTGGATTTATACCCCACCCTTCACTTGGAGTCTCAGAGCAGTTTAAAACTCCTTTCCCTTCCCCTCCCCACAACAGACACCCTGTGAGGTAGGCAGGGCTGAGAGAGCACTTCCGGAACTGCCCTTGAGAGAACAGCTTTGCGAGAACTTATGATTGACCCAAGGTCACCCAGCTGGTTTCATGTGGAGGAGTGTGGAATCAAACCTGGTTCTCTCAGTTTAGAGTCCGCACACTTAACAACTATACCAAACTGGGAAAGCGAGGTATAAACAAAACGTGAATAAGCAACGAGAAAAACTGAATTACTTATTTACTTCATTTATACCCCACCTTTCTCCCCAGTGGGGACCCACGGCTAGCTTACATTATTCTCCTCTCCTCCCTTTTATCCTCACCACAACCCTGCAAGGGAGGTCAGGCTGAGAGTGTGGCTGGCCCAAGGTCGCCCAGCAAGTGGGGATTTGAACCTGGAGCGCCCAAAGAGGCATCTTGGGGTTTGCACAGATCTAGTGAGAGATTTTATTTTTCTCCTTTGGACATGAGACACCCACATATACATGCCAGGTCACAAGCCACTAATGAAGGATGCACTTCCTTCAACCACAGTTGTCGCGATGGCACAGCCAGAGGCTGCCCTGCAAGAAACTTAGGCCCCAAGTCTGCTTGGCAGGGAGAACTAATGACATGCTTCTTTGGGTCCCGGCTTCTGACTTAATGCGCAAAAAGTAGAGAGGAAGACTGCCGTCTTGTTTAGAGACGGCGTGCAACCCTCTGAAATTGCCGGCTGTTGAGACCTCTATAAACTGATGGCATTCCCTTCCTACCTTTCATTTCAATCTTTACTTTTTGTTTTCATTGTGCAGGCCCTATCTTGAGGGCTGTTATTAGTCTGATTTACCTTTAAGATACTACAATGCACAGTATGATTCTTCTTACAGATGTTGTAGCTCCATGTCCCTTATGTTTATCTGTGTCACGGTCCCACAGCAATCAGTTCTCAACAACACTCCTTCAACAGGGATCAGTTTATTGAGTACAGTAAAGGCAGGTCTTCTGAGCATACACTCATTGGCAAGTGCGCGTAGGCTAGTGATATACGGAAATCAAAAAGGGTCACTGGGTGGTTCAAGGCCAATTAGGAGTCACGCAAAAGCCCGCCTAACCTAATGGGTATGCATTCCCGGGGAAAAGGAATAACAAGGTGCTAAGGTCACCAGCTCAGACTAGAAGGCGGTAAGGATGCAGGAGGGGGAAGTGAAACTAAGCATTCCAGAGACAGAGATGGCTTTATCCAGTGTACAGCTTCCCCCCCCCCCAGTCCATGGCAGCTGCATAGCGGACAATCTGTTGATGGTTAACTTACTGTAATAGGCATTACATTGTAACCTAATGCCTTTATGTTATCATTTAGTTATGCCACTGTCATTTAGACATGTACTTTAATAATATTATAATAAAACTCTGAAAATTAAAAAAAAGAGATGGCATGCAACAATTCGGGTTAATGTTTTGGCAGATCCAAATGCGCTGCCTGGTCACCCTCAGAGCAGTTCTTGGTTCTCTAAAGAGAAGCAAGCAGCTCATATTCCTGGCTGTCAGTTTTATAACTACTTTAATCTACAGGAAGAGAGCACAAGCTTATCAGATTTAATTGGGACTGAAGGAAATGTGTGGACTGAAAAAGGAAACAGATGGAGATCGTGCAATTAACCTTGCCCATCAATCAAAATTCCACTCCTAGGAGACAGACTAACTTTTGGCAAGATGAGCCTGCATCCTACGCATGCACACTTAGGAGTCAGCCCTGGTGAACAGAGACAAATTTACTTCCAAGGAAACATGTACAGGATTGCAAGGCTAGGGGTTATTCTTGCACCAAACGAAACTTGGACAGGGGAGGTCAGCACACCCAAATTATATAGATGTGTATTATTACTCTTTCCACAAAACTGTTACAGAACCTCCCCCCCCCAAAAAAAAACAGGCATGTGTATTATAATTCCACACCACTATGCATTTCACCTGAGACCAAACTGAATCTTCTAAAAAGCAGAAGAGAGGAGGAGGAGGAGGAGGAGGAGGAGGAGGAGGAGGAGGAGATTGGATTTATACCCCACCCTTCACTCAGAATCTCAGAGTGGCTTACAATCGCCTTTCCCCTCCCCTCCCCACAACAGATACCCTGTGAGGTAGGTGGGGCTGACAGAGCTCTTCTGAGGACTGCTCCTGAGAGAACAGCTCTGAGAAAACTGACCCAAGGTCACACCAGTGGCTGCACATGGAGAAGTGGGTAATCAAACCCAGTTCTCCCAGAGTCCACACTCCTAACCACTACACCAAATTGGCTCACGACAGATCTCAGGCACCAGGTCACCCCCAGCACCTGACACTGCATTGTATTTTCAGAAATGATTTTATTGTCGCATCACTCTGCAGTTCTCAGTGGAGGTACAAAGGGTTAAGAACATAAGAAGAGCCCGGCTGGGTCAGACCTGTGGTCCACCTAGTCCAGCATCCTGTCTCACACAGCGACCAACCAGTTCCAGTTTGGTGTAGTGGTTAAGTGCGCGGACTCTAATCTGGTAGAACCGGGTTTGATTTCCCACTCCTCCACTTGCACCTGCTGATGTGACCTTGGGTCAGTCACAAGCTCTGGCACAGCTGTCCTTGAAAAAGAGCAGTTTGTGTCAGAGTTCTCTCAGCCCCCACCCACCTCACAGGCTGTCTGTTGTGGGGAGGGGAAGGGGAAGGAGTTTGTAAGCCGCTCTGAGACTCCAAGTGAAGGGCGGGATATAAATCCAATCTCTTCTCTTCTTCTTCTTCCTCTGGAGGGCCAACAACAGGGCACGGAGGCCGAGGCCCTTCCATGATGTTGCCTCCTGGCACTGGGATTTAGAGGCTGACTGCCTCTGAATGCAGAGGTTCTCCTCTGTCATCATGGCTAGTAGCCACTGACAGACCTATCCTCCATGAATCTCTCTACTCCCCTTTTAAAGCTGTCAATAAGAATAAGGGTTGGATGGATCCCATTGTTTTTCCACTGGCAAAAAAGAGATAAAGGCTATGTCTAGGTTCACGGGACCTCTGGCCACCAAGAAGACTACGTTTAGGTTCATGGGACTTTCATGGGCAAAAGCCAAGTGGAACAGGACTGTAATAAGGAGAGGAGTTGGCTGAGATGGAGCAAAAATGGGTGGGTGGGTCCAACCCAAAGTTCATTTATTGTCTGGTATCACAATGTTTTATTGTACCCCATAAATATAAATACAAAACAAGTTCTTCTCATTGGCTGTTTATATGTATACTTAACTTTACCCCATTCAGTGGCAGCAGATGAATTCATTTCATAACCAGTTGCTCTCTACCAATTCTATATTCAACTACACAGAGCTTTTAAGAACAATAACAAAATGAGAAACTAAGGATACCGTAGGCTGAGAGGTCAGCTTTTTGTTGTACCAGCAACAAACTACGGTTGCCCCTAGAATACGTTTCTATAACACCTTTGTCGTAACTTCAACAAAACCCCAACAAAACAGTGGTTAGGATTAGGGTTCTGTGGTTGCGATAATTAAGATAATTTGGTCAGTATAAAATATGAAGCACTGAATGCTGAAAAATGAGTCTGGCACCTTAATTTTGAAGGTGGTTCCAACAGCCAAAGAAAATGTATCGAGTCCTATTTTAGATATTCACACCCTAAAGATACACAAAGCTGAAAGGGTGCAGAGTATCTGAGGTTCACTAAGCTCCACTGTGAATAAGAGGCAGCAAGTCTGAGTTGCTATGCTGTGGGTATTGGGGGGGGGGGGACTATGTATACTGCCTTCATCGCCTCAAAAGGACAGGCAGGATAAAAATGTATAAATAGTATATTAATCATAATGTCATTGTAACACTTTGCTACAGGGGTCCCCAACGTAGTGCCTGTGGGCGCCACGGCACCCGCGGACAACTTTTCTGATGTCCACCAAATGTTTGGGGATAGCCAGTTCGGTGTAGCGGTTAAGTGCGCGGACTCTAATCTGGGAGAACCGGGTGGGTTCTCCTCAACATACAGCTGGTGGTGTGACCTTGGGTCAGTCATACATTTTCTCAGAGCTGTTCTCTCAAGGGCAGTTCTCTCAGAGCTCTCTCAGCCCCATCTACCTCACAGGGTGTCTGTTGTAGGGAGGGGAAGGGAAAGGAGAGGGAATTAGATAAGTATATGGAGCAGAGGTCCATCGGTGGCTATTAGTCACAAGGTCTAGATAGGGACTCCAGGGCAAGGGATGCTCTGTATTCTTGGGGCTTGGGGGGGTCAATAGTGGGAGGGCTCCTAGTGTCCTGGCCCCACTGGTGGACCTCCTGAGGGCACCTGCTATTTTTGGCCACTGTGTGACAGAGTGTTGGACTGGAAGGGCTACTGGCCTGATCCAACATTGGCTTCTCTTATGTTCTTATGTACCTCACAGGGTGTCTGTTGTAGGGAGGGGAAGGGAAAGGAGAGGGAATTAGATAAGTATTTGGAGCAAGAGGTCCATCAGTGGCTATTATTCACAAGGTATAGATAGGGACTCCAGGGCAAGTGATGCTCTGTAATTTCTTGGTGCTTGGGGGGGGGGGTCAATAGTGAGAGGGCTCCTAGTGTCCTGGCCCCACTGCTGGACCTCCTGATGGCACCTGGTATTTTTGGCCTCTGTGTGACAGAGTGTTGGACTGGATGGGCCACTGGCCTGATCCAACATTGGCTTCTCTTATGTTCTTACGTACCTCACAGGGTGTCTGTTGAGGGGAGGGGAAGGGAAAGGAGTCATATTTACGTCTATTTATTCCTTCTCCACTGCTCTGATCAAGCTGATCACACCCCTCCCACCTTCTGACTGGGATATAAGGACTCACAGGTCTCCGTTCCGACTCATATTAGATGAAGGGAGCTTTGACTCTCGAAAGCTTATACCCCAAAAAATCTTGTTGGTGTCTAAATTGCTACTGGGTTCTAACCTAGCTGTCCTACTGCAGACCAACACGGCCACCCTCTGACCTGACAGAGTCACTGTGAGGGCAAGAGTTTTTACAACTGTAAAATACTTAGCATTTTAATAAGCAAGATAATATATTAGTAGTAGACAGAGACACATTTTTGGTTTGAAATCTTAGTATGTTCTTTGTGATAGCGATAAACATATTCCATCCACATTTTATTGCAGGTCAAAGCTGCAGAAAGTTCAGCAGCAAATAGTAACCAAAATCACAAGACTCTAATAAAATATTAAGCAAGCATTTAAGAGGTATAGACTACCAGTTCAAACCTACCCGAGCAACATCCAAAGAGAGAACACCAATTCTTTTTCTATGTAGGAGAAAGAGCAAGCTTGGGTTTTTTTTTTCCATTTTGAGCCGATGCACCCAAAATCGGAAGCTAGTCGGACTGTATTTGCTTAACACAGATTCAACACAACTGCATCTCTAATTACACTTTTTAAAAACTATATAAATAACATTGTTTTAATTTTATTTTTCCATTTATCCCCAGAAAATAGATTGGCCCAAAACCAGTATTTCCTGTCAAATCGTAATCCTGACGAAAGTATCCGTTCTTCACCACCACCACCCCAGTGCCAGCTACTTGTTCCCATTACTGTCTAGGGAACAACATCCTTGTAATAAGATATAAAACACAAGTGGGGACCTGCAATACTCGCAAGGGATCATAGAATCATAGAATACCTTGCAGGTCATCTAGTCCAACCCCCTGCACTCTGCAGGAGCATAGCTGAAAGATAGCCCTACATACCTACAACATACCCAAAAGATGGTCGTCCAGCCTCCACTTGTAAACGTCCAGCGAAGGAGCATCCGCCCCCTCCAGAGGCAGACTGTTCCACTGCTTCACCACTCTTACAATCAGGAGGTCTCTCCTGATATTTAGCCGGTATCGACTCCCTTGTAATTTCCTTGTCTTGCAATCCGGAGCAAGAGAGAATAGATCTGCTCCATCTTCTACATGACAGCCCTTCAAGTACTTGAAGACTGCAATCATGTCCCCTCTAAGCCTCCTCTTTCCCAGGCTATACATACCCAACTCTTTCAGCCTTTCCTCATAAGACTCAGATTCCAACCCTCTCACCATCCTGGTTGCCCTCTCCTGGACACGCTCGAGCTTCCCCCTCATATCATTCTCCCTTATCTCATCATTACCCACTGCAGTTCCTACAGCTTTCTAACCTCCTCTCCCCATTGCTGCTGCTGCTGCTGGGCCTGCTGCAGCTTCCCCGCATTGCCACCACTGCTGATCTCAGGGCCTGCTGAGGCTACAAACCTTTGTTGCCAGACCCACTGCAGCTTCCTTCCCCCCAACACTGCCGCTGCTGACCCTGGACCCAGTGAGGCTCTGAGGCTCTGCTGCCAGGCCCACTGCAGCATCCCCCCCCCCACTGCTGACCCCGGGCCCAGTAAGGCACCCAGCCTCTGTGGCTGAACCACTGCAGCTTGCCACTGCCACTGCCTGTGGGCCTCCAGGCTCTCAGCTGCCACTGTTGAAGAGGTAGCAAGTTGTTATTTTTTTAATGGGGGGGGGTGATGTAATTCCTAAGTATTTCCAAGTTTTTTCAAACTTGGGTGGGTCCCCCAAGTTTACAGAAGTATCTGCTCTTTCTGCGTGGGCCTGATCCATGGATTTCAACCTCCACAGAGGGGGGCCACACATGTTACGTAGGTAGGTACGTAGGTAGGTCAATAGATAGATGATATATAGCAGTCTGAATTAGCTAAGCCCTTTACCTGTTTAATCTCTTTCAGCTCTTCACTTCCCTTAACTTCTGCTAGCTCTCTGGAGTAGACAGCTAGGAACCCTATGCTTTTCTTTTATAACGGTAAGCCACCACGAGATGCTGTATGATAAAATGTGTGAACGAGCCCTCTGCTTAGAAGGTAGCATTTATCAGTTAACACTGCATTAGGAACCAGGGTACCTGAAAGACCACATCCCCCCCCCCAATATTGTTCAGCTTGCAAGTCAAGGTCCTGCTCAGAGCCCCCCACCCGCTCAGGCAAGAAGGACACTTACCAGATAACAGGGCTTTTTCAGTAACGGCACTTCTCTTTTGGTACACACTCGCCCCTTGAGTGTCACCTGGAACCTGCCTTCCTCTCTTTTAGGCACCCGTCACCTGGTTCACCCCTCCTTGATTTTCACATGCAGCAATATGGGTTCTAATCACTCCCACCATAATACACCAGACCAAAATATGCCTCTTTAGCTAAGCATCTTAAGAGGGTCTGTTTTCTTTAGTGGTCTTCTGTTTGGTACCTAGCAGACTGTTTTATCAGCATCACTACCTGGTTTTCAGCACTTTTACTGGCAATGTCTTCATTGACCGTGCTTTCAAAAAATTTGGTCTTATTGCTATGATTTGCTTTTATTGCTTTAGCCAAGAGCAACCTCAAGTCAGTCTGGAGAGGTGGCGTACAACCATTCTAAATGAATCAATGTTAGTCGCACTCCCCATCTGAAAGCAGTATTCCAGCAGCTGCGCTGGCTACCTGCTTGCTTCCAGATCCAATTCAACGTTCTGGTTCTGACCTTTAAAGGCCATGACAGTCTGGGTCCCTCGAATATGGAAGACTGCCTCTCCCCATATGAGGCTGGATGGACCTTAAGATCCTCACTACAAGGTTTGTTCTCTTTTCCCTCCTTAAAAGGACAGAACTGTGACTGCCAGGGTAAGGATGTTTACTATGGTGGCTCCATCCTTATGAAGAGAAGAGATTAGATTTATACCCTGCCCTTCACTACCCGAAGGAGTCTCAGAGCGGCTTACAATCCCTTTCCTTTCCTCTCCCCACAACAGACACTCTGTGAGATAGGTGGGGCTGAGAGAGCTCTCTTGAAAACTGCCCTTGAGAGAACAGCTCTGAGAAGAACTTACGAATGACCCAAGGTCAAACCAGCAGCTGCATGTGGAGGAGTGGGGAATCAAACCTGGTTCTCCCAGATTAGAATCCGCGTTCTTAACCCCTACAAAAACTGGAATGGGCTGCCAGTTGAAGGCAGGCCTGCCTCTTTTCTCATCCAGTTCAGGCAGCAGTGTAAGGCTGTATTTCTTAGACGGGTCTTTTCCTGCCTTAATTATTGTTTTTAATTGTTTTTTTTTTTTAATGTGTCAGGTTTCTGCCCAGCTTTAATTGACTTGCTTTATCATCAACTGTTTTGAGCAGGGAGGGAAAAACAGTGTAAAAACAAACAAACAAACATTAACACCACCAAAATAAGTTTCTTACCGGTAATTTTCAGTTTGTTTGGCTGAAAGAACTTAAGCACTCCTTCAGAGAAGGACACAAGAACGTCTGCAAAAAAAGCAAAAGAGAGAAATACTTTTATTTGTTTGTACCCCGTTTTTCAAACTGAAACAATCGAGCAGCAATACCAAAACTTTCACAGGACATTCTCAGACAGGATATTTATGCCTACAGAGGCAGTCTTCATGGAGCATGTAATATAGAAATACTAGAAAGTTAATGAGTAATCTGCTACATCCTGCTTCACGGCAACTTAATGCTAGTGCAAACACACCACCTCAAGTTGCTGATACGCGGTAGTCAAAGAACTTCCCCCAAAGTAGGAAGGAACCTAGGAAATGAATAAAAAGCCACATTCACTGGAGATACTGGATTTTCTTCTCATCCTATCTGATTTCCCCCCTCATCTAATACTATCCCATTCCTCCTACTGGCCCCCCTCCACCAGCTCCATTTCCCCCCAACCCTTCTTCTGCTCACTCAGGGATGCCAGCCACCAGGAGGGACCTGGGGATCCCCGGACTCAGGGCTCTTATTGTAGCAGGAACTCCTCTGCATATTAGGCCACACACCCCTAATGTAGCCAATCCTCCAAGAGCTTACAGAGCTCTTCTTACAGGAGCTACTGTAAGCTCTTGGAGGATTGGCTACATTAGGGGTGTGTCACTTAATATGCAAATGAGTACCTGCTACAAAAAGAGCCCTGCTGGCGGGAATTACAGCTCATCTCCAGACTATAGAGATCAGTTCCCCCTGGGGGGGGAAATGGATGCTTTGGAGGGTGGAATCTATGGGCACTGTACCTCACTGAGATCCCTGTCCTCCACAGGGTCCCTCCCCAAATCTCCAACAGTTTCCTAACCTGGTTCTGGCAACCTTAGCCCCCGTCCCACATCAATAGCTGGGGGGAGCTGGCAACCCACGCAGACGCCGTTCTCCTCCACCCCCACGGCGTCCAGCTCCATTCCTCACCTGATCCTCCTGCCAGTTCCAGCACTTCCACCTCATGAAGCTAGAGTCTGGCACCACTACCTGAATTGTCAAGTGTCAATTTGGATGGCTATAGCAACCCAAAATGCAGCCCTATTTTTTCCCCTGCGTGCACAGACTTCATTCCTAATTGGGAATGGCAATGTTACTTCAAAAGTATTTTTTTTAACAAATCAGATTTTTCTTTTGGCAAGTTGGTGGCGAGGGTGCTTTCCTAGCATTAGGTAAAAGGTAAAGGTTTCCCTTGCTCGAAAGCCAGTCGAATCCGACTCTAGGGGGCAGTGCTCATCTCCATTTCCAAGCTGAAGAGCTAGCGTTGTCCGTGGTCCATAGTCATGTGGCCGGCATGACTAAACGCCAAGGCGCACAGAACGCTGTTACCTTCCCACCAAAGCGGTATCTATTTATCTACTTGCAATTTCTTGCTTTCGAACTGCTAGGATGGCAGGAGCTGGGGCCAGAGACGGGAGCTCACTCCGTTATGCAGCACTAGGGTCTCAAACTGCCGAGCTGCCGACCTTCCAGTCTGCAGCTCAGCGTCTTAACCTCTGAGCCACCGCGGCCACTTTCCCCTAAAGTTACAGGACCCTAAACTGTAACCATGACACATCCTGTTGATCCACACAGTGCCTAGCCCTGGGAATGAATAGATAGACAGTCGGACAGATGATAGACGGATGATAGACAGATATAGACAGACAGAAATTTCACCACAATCTAAAAAAAACTTCAGATTGTTTACCTCATGCTCTGCCAATATGGTAATCTCAACCAGCAAACACACATTTAGCAATTCCCGTTGACCTGAATGTACTCAAGAATTCATGTTCATAGGTGTCAACAGGTATCAATGACATTGGAGTGATTTACAGTACAGGTGCCGCTGGAATGTTGCTTAGATAACCAGGACAATTACTCTTCTAAATACTGCTATCACTATCCATATAGTAGTAGGGGAGCGGTGGCACAGGGGATTTATCCTCTGGTTACAAGTAACATCTGAGCTGAACAGGACTGCTGTCAGTTCTAGCCCCGCGCTGGTGTGAGCTACCAGCCTTGTCCCCAGCTCGCCGTCCACCCAGCGGTTTGAAAGCTTCGGCGAGTAGATAAAATGGGTACCACTCCTTAGAGAGGGTGGGCACACCAAACCTCCCCCCGTGGCGAATGGAAGGTTTGGCTCGCAAGATCGAAAGCCTAGAAGATCTCTTCGGCATCAAGAAGCCTGTAATGGGCCGTTCTGGCCAGGCGGTGGCAGTATGGAGCTGCGACCCGAAGAGTCCTGGAGAGGAAGAGCTGACGTCATCCAGCCAAGCCAAGCCGAGTGAGAAAAATGCCATCCAGATCACGTCTGACTTGCAACTGAACAAATCCCCGTCGGCTGCAAAACGTGTGCTATGTAAAGATTATATGTGTTGTCCTCCCTTACCCCTATAAAGCATTGTTAGTCCCTTGTGAAATGAGTAACTGTAAATCACTCAGAGCCAGCAGCTCTGCAAGGATTGAGCAATCAATAAATTTATTATTATTATTATTATATTTATTATATTTATATCCTGAAAAATACCCATAGTTTCAGCATCAGAAAGCAAAATCTGGAAAATTTCAGCAGTGCCAGCTTCAGCACCCAAAATATAAAACCGCAGTGGAAGAAAGCAGCACGGGGCTCAGTGATAGTTAAGCAGATTTCTGGCATTTTTAATTAAGGAGAGCCACCTGTAAGTTAATTCTATAGGCAAACATCATGTCCCAGTCTCTAGAAACTGCCGTCGCAGCCAATGAACACTCAAGGCCAGGAGGGTCAACTGCAAAATCAGACTGATGACACACATCATGAACACTGCGCCAGCATCGCAGGGACACTGCACAAAAGTGTTGCATGCACAGAGATTGGAACACTGTTTCGGGCTTTGGCGTAACTCCCCTGGCAGGACCATAGTGACAGTTGTGACGTTTTACAATTCGTTGCTACACCACAAAGTACATATTTACAGCTCGTCATCTCACTTCACTATGTTCAGACTTCCAACTGCATCTCCAACTATTTTAGATACCTTGAACCAGCACTTAATTTCCACAGGATTGCAAACACACTAAAAAACCAGCAGCACATTAAAGACTAACAACGTTTGTGGCAGGGCATGAGCTTTTGTTGTTAGTCTTTAAGATGCTACTGGACTCTTGCTCTTTTCTACTGCTAGAGACAGACTAACAAGGCAATTCCCCAGATTGATTAAGACCCTTCCATAGGCAGGCCAAGTGACGGAACATCTGCAAGAATGCTCCATTAACTTTTAATGCAATTTCTCTAACCAACTTACAAGTAAGGTCTATTTTGTGGTCACAATTCTCTTCAGGCTGCCATTGGAACAGACCAAATACATAAGACAGAGCTTGCTTTTGTTTTATGTATTTCTGCCAGCTGAAGAAGCATCCTTTGCATCTTCGTATTCCTCACATTTCTGCTTCTCCAGAAGTTACCTAGATCTTTAGGCACGTTTACAAGCTACTTTATCTCAAGCTGCTACGATACTCAGCCTGCCGCAAGAAGGGATCTCAGCCCTAGCAAACATTAACGAGATCACTTTGACTTTCATCCATAAAACTGTGCAAGTTGGAAGAGAGGGGCTGTCTCCAAACTTTGTTCCTATCCGTGGTCCACTCACTGCCATCTGTTGCAAGTTGGGCAGAAAGGCTGCAACTGACTTCCCAACCAGAATCAGAAGTTATTTATTTGACACTTAAATCTCCCAGCAGGTGCCCTCTAGGACAAGTACATCTACTTTGCCAGCACACCTATGAAATATTTTGGGACGCACTCACGAAGGGGCTATAAAGAATATGGAGCAATTCTGAGTGCACACGGCCATTCTGGTTTCTCGCTCTGCAGGGAATCTCACTGGGGGACCTGGGGTCAGTCACACACAGCCTAATCTACCTCACAGGGTTGTTATGAGAATAAAATGGAGGAAGGGAGAACGATGTAAGCAGCTTTAGGTTCCCAGTGGGGAGAATGGGGTATAAATGAAGTCATAAGAACGTAAGAGAAGCCAATGTTGGATCAGGCCAATGGCCCATCCGGTCCAACACTCTTGTCACACAGTGGCCAAAAATACCAGGTGCCACCAAGAGGTCCATCAGTGGGGCCAGGACACTAGAAGCCCTCCCACTGTTGCCCCCCCTCAAGCACCAAGAACACAGAGCATCACTTGCCCCAGACTGAGAGTTCCTATCTATACCTTGTAGCTAATAGTTACTGAGGGACCTCTGCTCCATATGCTTATCTACGTTAATTCCCTCTTGAAGCTGTCCATGCTTGTAGCCGCTGCCACCTCCTGTGGCAGTGAATTCCATGTGTTAATCACTCTTTGGGTGAAGAAGTCAATAAATCCCAAATCATCTCTCCTCTTCACCATTTAGGTGGGTAATCATGTTGATCTGAAGCAATAGAACAAAGTTTGAGTCCAGTGGAACCTTTAAGACCAACAAAGTTTAATTATGGGTATAAACATTCGTGTGCAAGCACAGTTCTTCAGATTGTTGGTCTCAAAGGTGCCACTGGACTCAAACTTTGTTCTATTGCTTGAGGATATCTGATGAAGTGTGCATGCACACAAAAGTGTATACCTACCCAGAATTAAACTTTGTTGGTCTTAAAGGCGTCACTGGACTCAAACTTTGTTCTATTTCAGCCGTTATTCTCAGTGTATCAATTCAAGGAATGTGCCACAACGGAAATAACTCAGGCACATACTGTGGAAGCGTTGCTGATTCTACCTTTTTGCTCACTGGTCATTCCCACCCTCGTTACTGCAAACCCTGCCAGAAAGGCAAGCCCCGAGTTTCTGGGCTGAAGATGTTAAAGAATAATCAGAAATGCAAGCTCTTCCCTCCATTATGAAAACTCCACTGAACCTCACTAAAAGTCTCTCTGCACAATCCAAAAAAAGTCTACCCCAGCTCCATTTTATACCTAGCACAATCGCTGTTAAGCACCCATCTGGCTGCAGCAGCACAGTACACTGCCTCTGTGTAAGGAAAGGACACAGACTAGCCCAGACA